ATTCAAAACGGGATATAAAGCATGATTCCGTACTGTAAAAGTAGGCCGACCTCAAGTGACCCATACTCAATAATATTGCGAAAACCCAATATATTGGACGACCGATAATTATTGCTCCCAATAGATTGGGTGACCAATATTATTGGGACCCAATATACTGTATTGGTGCATGCCTACCGATAATAGTACAACAAACATTAAAGAAGAAAGAAAAACGAATGGAATATTGACGTAGTGGAGATTACCAGTCCTGCTCTCGGAGACTGTTGGCAAAAAAGAGAACACCAAACTAACTTTCTTAATCTGAAATATGAAAAGCTTTGTTTTACTGGGACGCCGGTCGGGCCCGATCAGTATATATGACCGACCGGTAAAATATATAACCGGCTGACCGGCCTTCCCGGACCGGTCGACAAAATCTTCACCTATGATTGCTTCATCCCCTTCCCTGTTATTCTTCTTAGAGGAAGGTCAAAAGAATGTTATGACTAACGGACAACTTCTAACCTAAAGAACGAAACGGAAAACAGAAAAAGAAGAAAAACCTGAAGAAAAACGTATGAGATTTAGCAGATAAATCTGTTTGAACTTGTTGTGGTCCGCCTGCTTGCCTTTCCTTGATGTATGATTCCTAGCTGAAAAGGACTTTGGTGTGGCTCGATCACAACATTTTTTCTTCTCTTTGGGGTATATCTCAACTTGTGACAAATCGTCGTTTTTGCATAATTACATGTTTTTTCCCTTCAATCCAATAGGAATATTTGTTTTTGTTTCTACGAATAACAGCAAAGAAAGGACAAAAACTAAGTAAAAGCAGCTACGCACTACAACACGACCTTTTCAAAATATAAGCATGACAACCAAATGTTTTTCTTTCTTGCTCTATCGACTATAAACTAAATAAAGTAAAATAAATATCATGTGTACATGTTAAGAAAAAGCAAATTTCTTCTCCCTCGTAAGCAAACAGAATAAATATCATTTCATTACTTCGTCTGATAGCCAGTCAAATCATGTCACTGATTTTCACTGAAATATTTCATGCCTTTTATTATCAATACTAATATCTTAACACAACGTCGTGAAGGAGTTGAAATAATCTTGTTACTGTTATATGCAGTTTATGATTTGATGACGAAAGAATTCGTCGTCTCATACACACAGACAATAAAAAAAAAAGCAGTTCTGCTTTTGAGTATTTATGAGAAAAGCTATTATCCGTTCCAGAAGTCAAGGCACTCGGTTGTTTTCTGAATAACTTTTGCTATTAACAAGATGAAGACCTGCGGTTTTCACCATTCGAAAGAGGAGACTTGGATGCATATTTTCATAGCCAATATCATTTCCAGATGAGTTTCTGAAATAGGTTTCCTAGGAGATCTTTGGAAAACTATGTCGTCTATAAACATTTTCCAATAGAATTGTATTCTGGTTTCTTATGGACTGATAGCGGTGTATCGAATTTTCTACAAGTCCAAGGACTGGCATCCGGTGACTATAGGTAGCCTTAAAAACTGATGGACTATGGGTAATCGACCATGCTGAGCTCCGTGGAAATATTTATTTACTACAATATTTATTTATTTTGAAAAAGTTTTAAAAATTTACCGAAAAGCCAGTTTTACGAAAATCAGGGTTTTCAGGTTGTTTTTACCTAATATTAAAAAATTCACTATTCACTTAAAAAACTTCAGAACAAGGTCAAAACTTCAGAATGTAGAGTATTTAAGCTATTCTATATCCTGTTCATAGGAGCTCTCAAAATAGATTTTACAGAGCTCTTAGATTTTTCACAAGAGTTTTTCGAAAACCTATTAGCAAAAGCATGCTTCTAGATCTTTTCGACCTTTTAATCACATTTAGCGGGCAATATTAATCATATCCTGAGAATTTGAACCTGTTCTGATGTTTTTTAAGTGAATAGTGAATTTTTAAATATAAGGTGAAAACAGCCTGAAAACCCTAATTTTCGTAAAACTGGCTTTTCGGTAGATTTTTAAAACTTTTTCGAAAAATAAATATTTCCACGAAACTCAGCATGGTCGATTACCCATAGTCCACCCGTCTTTAAGGCTACCGATAGTCACCGGGTACCAGTCCTTGGACTTATAGAAAATTCGATACAACGCCCGAACCGTGGAAAATCAAGGTCTCCCTTTACTCTCATTTTGAAGTGGACACCCTGAGCTATCAGTCCATAAGAAATCAGCAATACAATTCTATTGGAAAATGTTTATAGACGACATAGTTTTCCAAAGATCTCTTAGGAAACCTATTTCAGAAACTCATCTGGAAATGATATTGGCTATGAAAATATGCATCCAAGTCTCCTCTTTCGAATGGTGAAAACCGCAGGTCTTCATCTTGTTAACAGCAAAAGTTATTCAAAAAACAACCGAGTGCCTTGACTTCTGGAACGGATAATACTTCTATAGGAAAGTATGCGTAGAATCGATCATCCATTCTTTTACACAGTTCTTCTACCACAGTTAAAAATGGCTTGTGGTCATTCTTTCATCGTATGAAAAGCAAATATATCCGTGAGCTTGATCTAACGAAACTGCTTGTGTAGCTGCGTTGTGCTCTAGAAAGGTGTTCCATCTTTCAAACATTCTTGAAGTGTTTACACAGCCATTTAGTCGTTTCTCTTCATTTCTATTTTAGTGCTGTTGAAATGAGTTTCGCCAGTGTTTTTGGTGTTGAATTTCAAGCATATGAAAATATATTGTGTGCTTAACAGATAAAAGACCACTAATAAAAGTGATAAAATGGCACCAGTTGCGAAGAGAAAATCGAACATGACGCATACAGGTAAGCAGCAGTTATACTTCCTACTGTAAGAAATAGTTGTATAGTAAAGCATGACTCGCAGAACACAAATACGTGATTTTTCGTTTAAGTATATGACGCATTCTGTCTAGGCAGATTTTTCCCCGAAGAAATCATTAATTTAATGAAACATATGACGTTTGTACGTAGTCAAAAGCGGAATTTACAACGTGATCAGTGTTTACCTGTTGAGATGAAACGAGGATGTCATAGATCGATAAGAGTATATATAAAGTAACAACAGTTCACTATAGAATGGTAGAGTACGATTTCAGTAGAGTTTGAAAGCTTCGATTATTACAAAACAGTATTAAAACAAGAACAGCAAGATGCCAATAGAACATAAAGATCAAGTTTCATGCGCAGTGAAAGACCAGCATTATTTCCATTTGACTAATGGGCGACATCCACAAGAATTCTTAAATCAAAAATCGAACGAGTGGAATTTATCACTACACAATAAAGAGTATGCTACAAAAATGGATGAACACGATCCAATTGGTGATATGAGAAAGCATTTCCACTATCCAAAATTGAATGATCTCCCAAACGGTAGGATAGAAGTAATTTCGTATAGATAGGATATTTTCTAGTTTGTCGATTTTGTTTTCTAGTGGATAAAAGTAGGGTGAATCCAGATGATGAATGTACGTATTTATGTGGTCAGTCATTAGGCTTGATGCCAAAACGGGCAGAAAATTATGTTTTATCATCAATGAACGATTGGGCAAAAATGTAAGTTCAAGAACTTTTGCGGCAAGGTAGTTGTCGAGGTTGTTAGATGTTAGCTTTATGTGTTGATGAGAGTCCGCTAATTTAAAGATTTAAAATTATTGGAACTCACGGGAATCTTTATAATGATGGAGATAAGTACAAAGATGATTCATGTTTCTTCCGTCTTTTGTTAGTGCCGTCTATGGTCATTTTTTGGGTAGTAATCCATGGGCGAAATGTGATTATCCTTGCATACCACAAATGAGTTTATTAGTCGGCGGACATATGAAAGAGGTTGGGGTTATGAATCAATTGTCAACAAATTTACATTTCATGATGGTAAATGATATTCTTAACATCGACAGACAAAGATTTGCAATACTTAAGTTTTATTTTGTCTTACAGATGTCATTCTATCAACCGAAAGGCAATAGATACAAAATTTTGTATGAAGAACGAGCATTTCCGAGCGACCAGGTAAGAATAAGTCAATTTTATTTGTTAATAATATGCAGCTATTTTTTTTTCTTTATTACAGTATGCAATTAATTCACAAATTGAATTACGTGGTTATGATCCGAATGAGTCGAAAGTAATCGTAAAATCAAGAGAGGTAATTATACTGCGTTTTACATTATGTGTGAAATTGCTGATAGTTTTTCACATGTCAATACTTTAGGGTGAAACCTATATTCGAACAAAAGACATTCTTGATGTGTTAAAACGTGAAGGTGAATCGATAGCTTTGATATTAATAGGAGGTGTTCATTATTACACCGGACAATTGTTCGACATTGAAACAATCACTCGTGCTGCACATGAACAAGTATGTGTTATCAATCGATTTCCAAATATAAAATGTCTTTTGTTTAGGGCTGCTACATCGGCTGGGATCTTGCTCACGCGGTCGGTAATATACCATTGAAATTGCACGAGTGGAATGTTGATTTTGCAGTGTGGTGTACATATAAGGTATGTAGTATTAAATAGATGAACTATATTCGTCACTTAAGTGTGTTTTCAGTATTTAAATAGTGGAGCAGGATGCATTGGTGGATTATTCATTCATTCAAATCATTTTCAAAGTAAATTATTCAAACTGAATGGATGGTGGGGAAATCGTGATTCTACCAGATTCGCTATGGCTGATGGTAAAGAGTCTGTTCGTATATAATTTGCAGTCATGTTAATGAGTTGTGTTTGTTCTTCTGTTTACAGTTATCGATACTGAATTGGGGGCGAACGGATACCGCATTTCAAATCCATCGATACATCAATGTGCTACTCTGGCTGCCAGTCTTGAAGTATGTTTAACTACAAAAAGCAGCGTACTATATTGCTTTATTGATATTTATCGGTTTTATTTAGGTATTCGAAGAAGTTGGGATCGAGCAGTTACGGTCTAAATCAATTATATTAACACAGTATCTACAATACTTGCTTGATACCGAAATTAACAACGATAGTGTCTGTACGTTTAAAACTTTAACCCCAACTGATCCTCGACAACGTGGCGCACAAATATCTATAAGACCAAATGAAATAACAGCACAACAATTACATGATGAAATGGAAAAAACTGGAGTTGTTGTAAGTACTTCATACTTTTTAACAAATCATATGACAACTAGCTCATATGATTGCTCAGCCCTCTTTTTTGTTTAGATTGACATTCGTGATGATATAATTCGAATTGCACCTGCTCCATTATACAACAGTTTCTATGATGTTTACAAATTTATAACAATTTTAAAAGAAGCAATAATCACCATTAGAGCTCTCCGCTTGAAACATTAAACTCATCAGACTTTCACCAACCATTCGTATACTAAGTACCTGTTTAGTTGTGCTATGTAGTTAGAGTACTGACAATAGATATTTTTCAAATAAAATAATGGAGTTGTATCATGTTAGATAGATGCTCAACGTAAAAAAAGCCTAAAGTCAAGTGTTTCCTATTAGCTAGCATGCATCATAACCAACCAGCAAACCAGCAAGTGGTTGCTTACGAGGTTTGCTTACGATCGCATTTCATGACTCGGTTCTGTTTATCACTAAACATAAGTAATTTAAATACTACATTTACTCACTTTTCACCGCGAAGAAATAATAATATAGAGGTAACAGTTATCCTGTTATATTTATCAATGATTGATCAATGATGATTATCAATAATGAATATCAATGATGATTATGCCATTATTTTCAGATAGATACTGAAACTAAACACCTATAGTATTTATTTACATCTATGTATACCGATAGACAAAACTGGTTAATAATCAACTAGTTTAAAAAATGACGGCGAATAAGTGACTTAGTTAGAAATTACGCTTATTAACCAGTGAGCTACCAGCAAAAGTGACTGTAGATACTTCATCGTGATCAATGAAAATCTCTATCTAATAAATAATAGAAATTTCAGAAATTTCCCCCGTAATTACCAAAATTTCCTCGAAATTACCGAAATTTCTTTAAGTTCTCTTATTTTCGAAGATAGGGGTGCCTATTCTAATGGATATCTCTATCTAATAAATAAAAGAAATTTCGGGAATTTCCCAGTAATTACCAAAATTTCTTCAAAATTACCGAAATTTCTAAAAATTCTTGTATTTTCGGAGATAAGCGTGCCTATTCTAATGGATATCTTTATCTAATAGATAAAAGAAATTTCAGTAATTTCTCAGTAATTACCGAAATTTCCTCGAAATTTCCAAAAATTCCCGTATTTTCGAAGATAGGGGTGCCTATTCTAATGGATATCTGTGTCTAAATAAAAGAAATTTCAGTAATTTCCCAATAATTACCAAACGTTCCTCTAATTTCCTAGTAGTTACCATATCGCTATCGTTTAGTTTACAGAAAGTGTGGGAAATTTCGGGTAATTGCCGCAATAGACTTTGGAAGTTTACGGAAATTTCTTTTGCTGGATGGAGTGTTTTCGGAATGTGTATGGAAAATGCTCGCTGATGTTGTGGTAATTTTCGGAAGTTTCCTTATATTTGCTGGTTGACTTCGAGTATTTTCCGTAATTTCCTTTTACTTTAGTAGTAAATTCTTAGCAAACAGTTTTGAAAATGTTTGCAATTTCGGAAATTACTGAGAAATTTTCTTTTTCGTTAGTGGGTAATTACCGAAATTTCCAGGAAATTTGGTTTTGAGGTATTAGTGAATGTAGGTAATTTCTGGTAAGTTTCTGCTGTATTTGGTTCATGGATGAATCTGTATTGTATGTTGGAATGTATGGTAATTTCGGTATTTTCTCATTTTATTGGTTTTGCATTGTCAAAATTTCTGAAATTGCTTTATTTATGAAGCAAATTTCCGGTTTTGGAAATTTGAACACTGCTGTTAATAATAGGAAAGGCGAATGAAATTTTCTTTCAAATACACCAACTGACAGAGTTCCGCGAGTTGATCAAAAATATGTGCAAACGAATATTCAGAATAAATGAACCATTACATTTTTATCCAAAGCTCATTTCAGACCAACGACTTTAGCGCTAGCTGCCACGGTATTTAAAAGCCTGTTGAGACCTATTTAATTTTTCAGTTGATAAGCCTAATTAAGGACAGTAAGTAACCTAGTTAAAAGCTAGGTTTATTAACTAAGCTACTTACTATCCTTCATTTCTTGCGGAAACTTGCAGAACCTCTTTGTACTGAGATCACATTTTGAAAAAAGCATCTTTTTAGAAAGAAGTTAATTTTATATTTCACCTAAACATATGAGGGACAAATATTTGATGGTGGTAGATAGCCCAAGTTGTGCTGGTTCCGAATATACCCCGAGATTGGATCTAAACCCAAATCTACGGGGAGAGAATTAACTCTTTCCAAGCAACTAGCAAACTATAGCGAGAATTTTTCAGCTAACTTTTTTCCGTAAGGAAACTGCTTTGTACAAAAGTTTTTTTGCCATTACATGCACCATCAGTTGAAGTTTATAGAACGATCTTTAAATCAAGAAAAAGTAAACTTCGCGTTTTTGACCAAATGTCCGCCTGAATGCCCTGAGCGTCATAATCATATATGATGGGTAAATAAATTTTATTCATACATTAATGCGTGTTTCACAAAAAAAAGATTATTAAATTAGATATCAGATTATACTCAATCCATCGTTGAATGTAGAAATTTTAACTCCTTGGACTTCGAACGGACTTTTTAAAAAGGTCCCCAAGTCCAAGTCAAGTCCAAGTCCATCAAAAAAACCTTCAAGTCCGAACTTGGACTTGCCCACCTCTAGTGCTCTATCCATTATGAGATTGGTTTGAATTTTTCATGCGAAACAATTTTCCCAATTTTGATCTTGTAGCAAACGTTGGACAAAATCGAACCGATGTTTCGTCTTTTCTCGATCTTTGATAAGCTCAAATGTATTCATGCCATCCAAAGCACATGTGTAGATGTGTCTCTATCTGTGCAACTGAGCTCATGTCGAAATTTGGGTTCATATTATGAAAAAAAACTCTATCGTCTAAAAAATCCGAGAAAACTATATAAACAGAATTTTTGACGTAAGAAATGGTTTTCTCATGACCCAACTGAATTTTTGCACTCCGGCGTATTCATTTTAAGACAACCTCATAAACTAAATTAAAATGCTTCACTAATATTAATTTTTATTCAAAAATGAGTTTTTTTTCAAAGCTAATAATTTTTGGAGGTGAAAATTCGAAATATTTTTACTACTTTTCTAATAAAACGAAAAAGAAAGCAAATAAAAAGCTGAAAATTATAGCATATAAACTAGAGACAACGGCTTCATCTAATCATTTCTTGTATATAGTATTAGATATTCGATGGAATATTTCTGGGCTACGTCTCAAACGAGATACATTATATATTCTCAAAAGAGATACAAATCCATATTTTACAATGTCTCTGTTTTAATCAATTAAAAAGTATCTCTTTTGAGAAACGAATATTTTGGCAAGAAATTTCGTTTCTCAAAAGAGATACATTATCTCTCATTTCTATATTCCAAATAAAAATTAAATTAAATAAGAGGTAGAAGCAATCAAGATTATCTGAAGTGGTAATTAGTACTTATATTTAAAAAGTTTAGTTTAGGATTCTTATCATCGATTATGTAGGATCATATAGGGAATGTTACACAGTTCTATAATCAGATTCTTATGCGAACCTACGTTGATATGTCAATATTTAGTAGGATCTTATAGTAGGAATAATATAATATCCTATATCTTATAGAATCCGATAGGATCGTAGCAGGAGCTTTTGACCTGAATCGCTAAATGACTTTATTTTACATTTAGTTCTAAAAATTGTTATATAACAAAAAATATCACTACCAAAGACGTATGACAATAAAGATCTAATTGTCAATGATTGGCGAGATTTCCTCGATTCAGATCCATTCCCGGTTCATGCACAGGTGAATCCTAGTTTTTTATTAATTGTCCAATAGAAATAATTTTCCTACGATGATATGTGAGTAGTTTACACTGCCATTGTACCGCTGATATCCGAGAAGTAAAAATGCAATAACTTTTCTTCGACTAATGGATCTTTAATCTTTTATATTATTTGTCTAACCTTTGTCCACTACTGCTGAAAGGAGCAGCTTTCCATTGGTGCTGCAGTATAACAGTTGAGTTCTACATTTCTTACGTATGAAGAATTTGAAACAGAAGCCTAACTTTCTTGAAATTTATACATGAATTAACCATTTAGTTCCATTTTCTGTTATTAAAGGCACTAAGCCTCTTTCCGTCCCGCGATATTGAACCTCTCATATCCCAACTAAAAACTAACGTAATCTTTCTCGAAAACAGCGAAGAGATAACCGACATATTGAGAATCATTTTGATAAAGGAAAATAATAGATCAATGTTCTGGTTACTGTAAAAAGTAACACGATGATTCTTTTGAAAGTGTATCAGAGTTTACATCAACTTTGTCCCAATTGTTCGAGAGTAGCAGTAGTAGAACTCGGGCTCCTGATGACGAATATCATGTTTAAACATTTAACCCTTTGATACCCGAATTTTTTCTACTGAACCAAATTTGATGAAACTTGGTATAAACTAACTAGGTGACATTAGGAAGCATGTGGTTAAATTACAATTAAAGAAAGCACGTGATCACTAGGTATGCACCAGTTAAAAACTGGTGTTGGGACATCCGGGAGAATTGGTATACATCAGTTATCACGATTCGCTCAGAGCTGTGAAACATCTCATTTTGTAGAAAAATGTTTGCTCTACCAAATGCATTTGTTAAAAAGATTCCAAACGTATTCCTGACAAAACTTAGAGCATTCGAAAATACATTAAATCACGTAAAAATAACTGGTAGGCATGCAACAGTTTTTTAACAGTTTTTTTCGTGTTTTTCCAAAAATGGTTTGTATTTTCGCAACAGCGAAATGTGAAATTTTCTGAAATCAGCAGTTTTGTAGAGCAAACATTTCTCTGCAAGACGGCATATAGTAGATTTTTTTAAAGTTGCTTGGGTTCTTTAAAAAACGTTTTTGATAGAATGACCCAGCAGTTCAAAACTGCGGTTAAAACTTTTTTAGACTAAAGAAACTTGGCATGGTGCATTTTTCAACGTCCTCCATATACCCTATTATCCGTGCAATCTTGTACGGACCTCTGCTACCTTCTAACATTTATTGAAAATATTTTTCTAAGATTCGCAAAAACTCGAAGATTTGAAAATTCTCGAGGTGGGAAGTATGCTTCCCACTGGGTTTCAAAGGGTTAAAGTGTTCCTGTCGTGAAACAAAACGGTGTATATATTATGCGCACAGAAAGGAAAAAAAAATAAAGTGCACATCACAAGATCATCGTGCAATTTCCGGTCATCGGAAATTAACGGATCCGACTGGTTCCGGATATCGGATTCGGTCGGACATCCGATGTGCGGAAATCACCGAAATTAAAAGGATCCGATCGGGCGAGTTCGACCTGGGTACAGAAAGGCAAATTCAGTTTGTTGGAGGATTACCAGCGATCATATCTCTACAAACTCCCTTCTGGCAGTTGATGCGTGAAAGAACCTTTTCACGCGTGATATCATAAAAGAAAAACTGTATAAAAGAAAGATTTGGCAATGCTTGAAAAACAAGGTGCCCGCTTAACCAGAAATGCGTACAGCGAGATGGCACTCTTGCCATAATCCATAATGAACATCCGATTGCGACGGTCTATCCTCACCCCTTGTTGAAAATTTTGCGGGTTTGCCCTTCAGGATTTGACCTTTTTGATTTATCATGCCAGACTACATTAACTCGGTATCTGTGTTATCTCCAGTCTGTCAGATTTGTGTCAATATTGGTCATATTCTTCATTCTAGGTTGTCGCAGTTTCAATCAATATCAAACTCGTACTTTAAATACTATTCTAACTATACAATCTTTATCAACATTGCAACTACTGTCCACACGAGACGTATGGGTTATTGAGAATATTGCAGACATGATATCTCCAATCAAATATCTAACTTTGAGCGGTAATTTTAAATTGGATGCAGTATTTTTATTACTTAAACAATTACCACATTTACTTCATCTCAATTTGAACCGTGTCGATCTTTCATTCCATTCTGGTTCATTTCAATGCTTGTTTGAACTGAAATGTAAAGTTAAATTACAATTAATTCTCTGTGTTGCTGAATATAGTCAGTTTGAATTGCTTTTGCGGCATTTACCAAAATTGTATTATCTCAAACTCGGCGGATCATTTGGCTTTTACGTTAATGAAAGATCCAATTTCTCGAATGGAAATCGATGGGAAAATGATATTTTTATGAAATTACCATTACTGAAACAAATTCAGATTAATCTAGAGGCTGATCCATATATAGAGGATGACACTGTACGTTTTCGGGAACAGCTTCGGTACGCAAACGAATATGTCTTACCATCATTTAATGAAAATGAATATTTAAAAAGTATAAATTTCAAAGCCGAATTGCTAAAAGTAACGAACATGTATGCAGGAGAGGGGTATCGTTTACAGTTAGTTTGTCTCTATCCAGACATACCCTTAACGAAGGCAAAACGTTTGATTAAGAGCTGATCTCATGGTCTGTATATAAAGGTTTCGAATGATTTGTCCGTTGTAAATTCATTCTTTTTTGAAACATATCAATTAAACTGCGGTTATGAAAAAGTTTTATGGTCGTTTGGACTTGATTTCGCCGAGTTATAGAAATTAGGTGTATCGAAGATTTTCCAAAAAGTGCCCTTCGTGATTTTTTGCCCATAACTTCGTCAAATTTTATCGGTTCTATTCGAATGACGTCTCATTTCAAAGTCCATTTAAAAATGAATAAAATTAGATGTTTCTAAACTTTTTCGACCGGAACTGGATTTTTCAGAAGCCTACCATTTGAAAAATGACTAATTTTAAAAACAAAATTTTTTCAATAAAGTTTATTTTTCTCCATCCAGTAGGTTTCCCGCAAAATGTAAGTCAGTGCGTTTTGTAGAGCGCACAATTCTCTATATAATGAGCTATGAAACTTTCTTTCACAATCTCAGGAACATGTTGAAAAATTGCTTGCAATTATTACCACCAAAGTAATTATACTACCGTTTTTTTTAAAAATGCAATCTTTCATAAAAAAATACGCACTTTTTATATTACATTAAGCACGCTGATGAAGGTACAAGTAGTTATAGAGAGACATATTGTAAATATTTCAATATTTTATTTGACACCAGTACGTTTCCTCGATGACGAACGTTTTTTAGCCGGACGTTGATCCAGCTCTATTATCGGGTGACACTGCTCGGTTTCGAGAGGGAGCTGGAGGTGATGATTGTTCATTGCTAATTCCCATTGAATTTCTTAAATTATTTCTTTCCTCAGCCTCTTCAACTACCTGATTATCGTCAAATTCATCGTCATCTTCCTCCTCCACTTCGTCTTCAGCTTTTAGTAAGGTTCGAATAATTATATTAATATCAGTTTTTTCCTACGTTATTGTAGCATTTTCATAAAATAAGTGAGATGGTGTATTCCGAACAAATATAGAAAGACAAATCTAATGAATTCCATAATGTTTTGTGCTGTGAAAAACTAGGCCTAAAAACACTTGTTTCATCTGAGAATGTTCAGATACAACATCCGAAAATCAAATTACTAATCAAAAAATATCGACAATAATTGTCCCCCTGCTTCACAACTATGTCTGGGTCAATTACCTCCACAATGGTCGACTACTATTGTGAGATCTTCACCGCAAAATGAAGCGGTACACCGAAGTAGTCGGCATTTATCAGAAGTGATCAGTACGCAAAGTATTATCAGTTAAGACGCTGGTTTCTTATTAGGTAGTTATATCACTGTCTTCTATTGAGTAAGAAGTTGAATGTAAATGATACTATTTTTAGGGTTACATCGGCCAATTCCTCAAACTCAACTCATTCGTATTCTCTTATCAGTTAGCGCTTCTCAGTAAGCAACATATTTAAACATCTTTGGTAAGGACCAGGAATATCTTTATTATTAGTTTCATATGATTGAAGTTAAACTGTTATGAGAGATTATGCTTCAAAATTGCAAATAGTATCTAGTTTTCAAATTAATATAAGCCACTCCAAATTCGAAGTTACAGCACTACTTTATTTTTGGCTCGATGATGCATCATTCAACAGAGAATTTCACGCTGATCAGGAATATCTGGTTTTTAGCCTACCCAGTGCACATTATCAGTGAAACAAATTCAAAAACTTGAAGCATCTCTTTTTTTCGAGAAAATACTAACTTTTTTAAAAACTGAATAACCTGGTTTCATTTGAAAGCCGTAAAACTAAGTTTTTCTTATTCAGCGTTGAAAACTGCATGCAGAAAACTATATTTCAAGATTCCAGACCAAATATTATTTTATAGACGCGAAACAGGCCTGATATATCTTCGGTTTTGAGACCCTCATCTTGCAAATTTGTCGCAGTTTTTGGTTAAGAGATGAAGCCAAGTTTCATACGCCATTCGATTCGCCGTGATACGCGTAAACAAAAAGAAAATGTCGCTCTTTCTGAAATTCCTTTTCATTACTGAGAAAATTCGTTTTTTCTAAATCTGAGGCGAAAAGGTCTGTATTCTGCTTGTAATTAACAATTTCTGCAATCCGAACTGAACTTTCATGTAAGTTAAAAAAATATCATATTCGGAATCAGGATCAAAAACTGAGTCGACTGATGTGTATCTCAACATGTATTTCAGAGATAACTATTGTCGCTTCTAATAACTTCAATTTGATGGCTGGATATCTAAATGAACGTGCAGAACGTTCTGCCAGACTTATAACTATTCGGCTGATTGGCTGTTGACTGTCAAGAAATGTTTTCGAAGTCGTTGGTTGTCATCGTAACACGCACTAAAAGAGACTATATGTGTTCGAGTGATTTCTTGTGCCGCTCTGATGTTTAAACTAATACACGGGAACACACAAAACCCTATGCGATGTTTCTTGGAATGCGAACACGATTCCTCCAAAGACCAGTTTTTCAGCAGTTAATCTGTTTTATTGGTAAAACTATTGCCATACAAGTATAGAAAAAACTATGGCTGTCTTAACGCTATTACTTGCCCAGCTGTTGGTGCACTTACTGTATCTTTCAAAAATACTGCTAAACTTAAGGACTCTGAATTTAGCCTTGGTCTTTCTTTACGGCCGTAAAATAAAGATAAGCTGAAAGCACTTTCTAACACTACACTTGTACTACGAACTGCCAAAAGCTTTTGGCATGTATATTTGATAAAACCATATTAATACTGAGGACTGTTGGAATACACAAAAATGTGTAAAGTACTTTTCTCTACGAAGATGTGGCAGCAGTCTTTTTTCTACTTTTCTACTCTTTTTTTCTACTTTTCAGTTTCATGCTTTTCATACTTTTCATAGTTTTCTACTTTTCATGCTATTCTGCTTCTCGGCCTGTTCACGTAACAGTTGTCTTTTCGTGATTCCGTCACGATTTTTGTTGTTTTACAAGTCTCGTGGCGCTCGAACAAAAGGAAACTCAAGGACCGTTTACATCTAGTCTTGTAGAGAAAAGTGAGCTGAACAAAATGTGATATTTCTGTTTCCGCAAAGTGTCGTGGTTCTCAAATATAACAAACATATCACCGACAAAAAATTAAAGTTCATTTAGAGTTAAAGCAAAGTGCTTTTTCGTATTCAGCACACTTGATAACCTGGAAAATTTTCTATTTTTAGCGAGGGGTACCGTCAAAAAGTTAAGAAAAATTTTTAAAATTGTTTAATTTTACCATGGGGATTTTTCT